TTTCCATTCACCAAGTGGTAGATGTTTCACTTGTTTCTAGTTTTGAGCTATATGAATAAAGCTGTTATGAAACTTATGCACAAGTCCTTGGGTGGACATATGCTTTCATTTCCCTTGAATAATTATCTAGGAGTAGAATGGATATATTATATGGTAGGTACAGTGTAAGTTTAACTTTTTCAAAACTTCCAAACTGTTCTTCAAAGGTACCATTTTACATGCCTATTCAACCAATAATTATTGAGGTTCTACTATGTTACAGGCACTCTTCTAGATGCTAGAAATATAGCATTAAAAAAAACAAAACAGACAAATATGCAAGTTCTCATTGAGAAGAGCTTGAAGGGGTCGTAAGGTGGTCTCAGGAGACAATCTTTGAGATTGAATTTAATATGCTGGATATTTATGACAGAGTTCCATACGGATAAAAAACTACAGATTGGAGGAGGAAGAAGTAGGATTAGGCCAAGGTGAAAGTCAGCTTATGATGCAAGTCTAGTGATAGCTTTTGCCCACTCCATGTTGAGATGAGGAGCTAAAACGTTCCACTAGATCTGTCAGGCATTGGGCCTAAATGGCTGGACCTTTATACCCTACCTCCATCAATGAGGAACACCATAGGAAGGGCATGACTTATGGGCAAGACAGCTTTCGGCAGCAGAGGTTATCCCAGAAACCACTGATAGCTGAAGGCTATTGGCTGATATCAGTTGCCACAGGGTGGGTAACAAGTCATTCTCTGAAGGGGATACCAAGGCAACATTACTCTGAATTCCTCACTGTCTCTCTACCATTTGCTCTGATTGGATCCACTTCTCCACATATGCCCAGAAAACGCCATGGGTCTGTATTACTGAAGGAAACTTAGAAGATAATAATTACCAGCCCATATCTGCATCTGGTCTTGCGGCCACAACAAATACTCATCTCTTTCGTCCACTACCCATTCTAGATTCCCTTCATCTTCAGCCCCCAAGTCTGATGGTTGTAATGGGTTATGAGTGGCATTATTTAGACCCTCATTCCTGGTCATTCTATTCTTCTTGGCCTGGGTTTCTCCATTATCCTTTTACTGTCAAAACCGGGCAGGGGAGTACTAAGCAGCACTCAATGGATTGCTTAGTAGCCAAACATATTTCTTCCTGCCCTCAATGTGTAATACTGTCCATACCCTCTCCTGATAACAGTCAATTACCTCTGCCAGGATGGTGAATCCTCTATTACAGGATGGTTGATGAGCATGAGGAGGACAAAGTGCATGAATAGAATTTGTAGCTTATAATTCAATAACCCAGAGTTCTAGAAACCAGGCACCCAAATTTCTCCAACTTAGTCAACTGGAATGATGGCAAGTGATGGGTCCTGCTTATACACCCTTGTTTTCCAGAGCCAGGTACTATCTTTTCTGAGGACCAGAACCATACAAAAGTCTTTTACTCATGGTGTATATTGAGTCCTAGATGATGACTCCCAATTCTATTAAGTTCTTTAAACAGAACTTCACCTAGGCCTTCAGCAACCCATTCCAATCCTTTATTAGGCAGCAGCTTCTGGGTGGTGCAAAATGTCATAAGAGGGTGAATTCCATGTTTGTGGGTCCATTTCCATACATTGTTGCTATAAAGTGGGCCTCTTTGTTTGATATGATCTTTTCTGAGAATTCCATGACAGTAGATCAAACACTATACTCTCAGATAAAGGTGATGGCCAAGACCCTGCAGGCAAATCATCACCCTCAGTATGTTATATCCCTCTCAAGAGTCATCGGCCTTTTCAGAGTGAAAAGGCCCAATCTATTCAACTAGTCCCATATTTGGTGATCAACGTTGGTTTCTGTGGCTAGAAGATTAAACATTCAACATAGCAAAGCTGTATCCACCTAGATAAGTCAAGACTCATACTGTTGGGCCTAGGCATAGCCTCCATCTCTCCCACCATGGCCACTTTGTACATGTTACCATTAATGTGAATAAACATAGATATTAAAAATTTATTAGCCCATGGACTTTGTTTATACCTCCCCCTGACACACACACACACACACACACACACACACACACATACACACACACATCATTTTCTAGGGCTTCCCCCAGTCCCTAGATGAACTCATGCTCCCAATAAAATCCTCCTTCTCTCTGGACTAAAACAAATGTCACATGCTTCCTGATGGGGCTTGCCACCAAAAATGATTTAGGATATCCCAAAGGAAGAAAATCTTTCTACTGTCAGGTTAGAAGAAAACAGGAGTTAAGAGGCTATTGAGCAGCTAATCCCTCATTTGTCCTGAAGTTCCCTACCATCTAATGAGGTGGTAGCCATAAAATCTTACAATGACCATAAGCATATGTTAGTGGAGCGCTGGCTTTCTATGTATCCCACAAACATTGCTCTTGAAAAATTTAGGTGATTTATAACTTATATTCCAAAGATAATTCCAAATATTTTAAGCCAAAGTGGTGAATAATTATGGGCGTTTCAGACTGGTGAGATATTTGGGGAGATGAAAGTCTTGGCCTGGTCTGACTTCTCCCTTGACCATTTATGTTGATGGCAAGCTTCCTGCCCCAAACGTATTTGCATTAAAGCCAGGTATTTCCCAATGGTTATCCTCACCAAAGTAACATCCTTCAAGAACTGTTACAGTCATTGAAACTGAACCTTTACTTCCTTATGTCTTTCTCTAACTTATGTGCATGCATTTCTTTCTCTCTAACAACATGATGAGCTTCATGAAGAAAGTGATAGGGATCTTAAAAGCCTTCATATCAATGTTCTATATGTCCACTGTGGTGGTTACATGTGTGAATGAACTTCTCCAAATTTATCGAATTATACACCTAAAATGGATGCATTATATTGAACATAAGTTATAGCTCAGTAAGGTGATTTTTAAAATGTCTTCGTATAATCCTAAAATTTGTATGGAACCAGAAGAGACCCCGAATAGCCAGAGGAATGATGAAAAAGAAAAGCAAAGCTGGCGGCATCACAATTCCAGACGTCAAGCTCTATTACAAATCTGTCATCAAGACAGTATGGTCCTGGCACAAAAACAGACACATAGATCAATGGAACAGAACAGAGAGCCCAGAAATGGACCCTCAACTCTATGATCAACCAATTTTTGACACAGCAGGAAATATGTCCGATGGAAAAAAGACAGTCTCTTCAACAAATGGTGTTCGGAAAATTGGAAAGCCACAACCAGAAGAATGAAACTGGACCATTTCCTTACACCACACACAAAAATAGACTCCAAATGGATGAAAGACCTAAATGTGAGACAGGAATCCATCAAAATCCTAGAGGAGAACACAGGCAGCGAGCACTTTGACCTCAGCCGCAGCAGCTTCTTCCTAGAAACATCGCCCAAGGCAAGGGAAGCAAGGGAAAAATGAACTATTGGGATTTCATCAAGATAAAAAGCTTTTGCACAGCAAAAGAAAGTCAACAAAACCCAAAGGCAACCGACAGAACGGGAGAAGATATTTGCAAATGACATATCAGATAAAGGGCAAGTATACAAAATCTATAAAGAACTTATCAAACTCAACACCCAAAGAACAAATAATCCAATCAAGAAATGGGCAGAAGACATGAACAGACATTTTTCCAAAGAAGACATCCAAATGGCCAACAGACACATGAAAAAGTGCTCAACATCACTCGGCATCAGGGAAATCCAAATCCAAACCTCAATGAGATACCACCTCACAACTGTCAGAATGGCTAAAATTAACAAGTTAGGAAATGACAGATGTTGGCGGGGATGCGGAGCAAGGGGAACCCTCCTACACTGTTGGTGGGAATGCAAGCTGGTGCAGCCACTCTGGAAAACAGTATGGAGGTTCCTCAAAAAGTTGAAAATAGAGCTACCCTATGACCCAGCAATTGCACTACTGGGTATTTACCCCAAAGATACAAATGTAGTGATCTGAAGGGGTATGTGCACCCCAATGTTTATAACAGCAATGTCCACAATAGACAAACTATGGAAAGAGCCAAGATGTCCATCAACAGATGAATGGATAAAGAATATATGGTATATACATACAATGGAATATTATGCAGCCATTAAAAAACCCGAAATCTTGCCATTTGCAACGACGTGGATGGAACTAGAGGGTATTATGCTAAGCGAAATAAGTCCATCAGAGAAAGACATGTATCATATGATCTCACTGATATGAGGAATTCTTAATCTCACGAAACAAACTGAGGGTTGCTGGAGTGGTGGGGGGTGGGAGGGATGGGGTGGCTGGGTGATAGACATTGGGGAGGGTATGTGCTATGGTGAGCACTGTGAATTGTGTAAGACTGATGAATCACAGACCTGTACTTCTGAAACAAATAATACATTATATGTTAAAAAAAAAAAAAAAAAAGAAGAAGATAGCAGGAAGGGAAAAATGAAGGGGGGGAATTGGAGGAGGAGCGAACCACGAGAGACTATGGACTCTGAGAAACCAACTGAGGGTTCTAGAGGGGAGGCGGGTGGGGGGATGGGTCAGCCTGGTGATGGGCATTAAAGAGGGCACATATTGCATGGAGCACTGGGTGTTATAGGCAAACAATGAATCATGGAACACTACATGAAAAAATAAATAAATAAATAATTAAAAAAAACCATATTTACAGGATTAAAACAAACACAAAATGTCTTCGTATCCTTCCAGAATCTAGAGCTGAGTCCTGCTCCTATGTGGAATCAAGTATTTTCTGATTGAATTATTCTCTTAAACTGTATAGTTGTTTTGTTTTGTTTTTGCTATAGCCAAGAATATCTTCAGGAGCTCCAGACATATATCCAACAACATGGCCCCACCCAGATTTTTTCATAGGCTCCACAAACAACATGACCAAAACAGAACTGTCAATATCCTGGCATTGCACTAAACCTGAACCTCCACTCAAATCCTCATCTAAGAAAACCACCCTAACCCAGTTGCAAAGATCCACCTTCCAAAAGACACACTTGGTTCCTTTCTATCCCTCACCACAAACACAGACTTCATCAGCAGGTTCAGTACTACTGAGTACTTCTAGCCGCCTTGGGTGTAAAAGTGTAACATATATTCTATACCAATTATCCTTCTTTCTTAATAAGAGAATCACAGGGCACCTGGGTGGCTCAGTCAGTTAAGCGGCTGCCTTTGGCTCGGGTCGTGATTCCAGGGTCCTGAGATCGAGCCCCACATCCGGCTCCTTGCTCAGCAGGGAGCCTGCTTCTCCCTCTGCCTCTCCCCCCTGCTTGTGCTTGCTCTCTCCCCTCGCTGTGTCAAAGGAATAAATAAATTCTTTAAACAAACAATAGAATTCCAAATTTAGTTGGGACAGTAGTGTTTCCAGTAAAAGACCACATCAAAATCTGAAAGGCAGCTGAACTTCTCAGACCAAGATGTTACTTACACCATCTGTTGCAGACTGAACTGTGTCCCACCCAAATTCATATGTTGAAGCTCTAATGGCCTGTACCTCAGAAAATGACTGGGTTTGAAGACAGGGCCTTTAAAGAGGTAATCAAGATAGAAAGAGGCCATAAGGGTTGGCCCTAATCCAATCTGATTAGAGTACCTCTAAGAGGAGTTCAGGAGATACAGAGAGATACATAGGGTGTGTGTGCCCAGAAGGATGACCATGTGAAGAAGGAGCAAGAGGGAGACCACCTGCAAGGCAAGAAGAGAGGCCTCAGAAGAAATCAATGCTATAAATACTTGGGTTTTGGCTTTCTAGTTTTCAGAACTGCAAGAAATGAACTTCTGTTGTTGAATCCACTCAGTTTGTGGTATCTTTGCCCTAGAAACCTAAGATACCATTAGATAAGGCTTTCTACTGTGACCGCTCATGAGAATCAATTGAGGAGCCTTAAAAATACTGATGGCTGGATCTACCCTTAGAGATTCTGATTCAATTTCTCGAGTCTGGGCATCAGAGGGGATTTTATTGTATATCCGGAGTTGAAAACCACAGGTCTAAGAGAAGAATGTTTTGCATCCTATAGGGGAGGTTGAAAATATTGGATCTAGCATCATGTAGAAGGCATTTCCTCCCACCCCATATCTCTCTTCTTCCACTGCTTTTTTCCACCACACAGCTTCCTTTTTTTTTATTCTAGCCAGATCCCCACAGATGGACCCATAGATTCTCCCACCTCTTCATCCTATTACTAACCCAAGATCCATCGTAATTTAAGGCAGATTAAGCAGCTGCAGCCCCACTTCCGGCCCTCCTTGCCAAGAAAAGTTAAGTCTTGAGGAGTTCACCCTCTCTGATTCTGCCTGTTAGCCTGAGCCAGGACTCAGAAGCTACCTTCGGACCTCTTAGTCCAATTAGGAAATGCACAAAACACAAGAACCAGAGATTTTACTAACGGAAAATAAGCATATGAAAATAAATTATCATCTTTAATCATCATGGAAATGCAAAATTAAATAGGAACACACTTATCAGAATGGCGAAAAAATAGTGAAAACACCAAATGCAATGAAATCGATGGATAAACTGAGTCCCTCAGACATTGCTAGTGAGAATGCAAAATGTTGCAGGCACTCTGGGAAACAATTTGGCGTTTTTTTCCCCAAAACTAAACTTGTAATAACTGGATAATACAGCAGTTGCACTCTAGGCCATTTACCCAGAGAAATGAAAATTTTTGTTCACATGAATGTTCCCAACAGTTTTATGTTCCTAACAGTTTTATTCACAATAATTAAAAAGTAGAAACAGCCCAGATGTCCTTCAATAGGTGAATGGTTAAGGAAACGGTGGTAGATCCATACCATGGAATACTATTTGGTGATAAAAAGGAACGGATTATCAATACACGTAACAACTTGGATGGCTCTCAGGGGAATTATGCTAAGTGAAAGAAATCCATTTCAAGAGGTGATCACGCACCGACAGAAGGATAACCCCACCCCCCCAATAATAACCCTGTTTCCACTGCCACTCAGTAACCAGACTCCTTCCATACCCCCTACTATGTCTGCCTCCCAGACTCCTTGGCTGGTACCTGTAGCCCTCCCACAGAGTCAACCTTTGGAGATTGTCTGCCACCTTCCCTACGTTTATAGGTTTATAACCAAACCAAGGACAATTTTATTTTATTTTATTTTATTTTTAAAAAAGATTTATTTATTTATTTTAGAGAGAGAGAGTCGGGGGGAGTGAAGGGCAGAGAGAGAGTGAGAGGGAGAGAAGCAGACTCCCTCTGAGCACAGAGCCCAATGCCAGGCTCGATCTCACTACTGGAGCCGAAATCAAGAGTGGGATGCCTAACCAACTGGGCCACTCAGTCGCCTCCAGATCAAGGACAATTTTATACCTGCATTTACTCTGTACAACAGCCCAAGGAATGGGCAGTCTAATCTTCATTTTCAGAGGAAGATACTGAGTCACAAAGAGGTCATGGGACTTCACCAAGGTAAAACCCCTGGTGAATGGTGGGGTGAGGAAGATAACCCACACTTGAATTCCAGACCCCATGCCCTTGACCACTAAGCTAGACATTTTGGGTCTACCTGTTTGCTTTCTACCATATTGAGAAAATCCTGAGGACTGCATAACCACATTCCCACGCCCTTGAGCCCAGGCTGGGCTGGGAGTTCCCCCCACAAGACAGCACTCACCTGGAATTGCTCCCAGGCACAGCAGTGAAGGTTCAGGTGAACACAGAACTGAGGCATTCCTCCCACTTCAACAGCAAATAACAAACAGCAAGACTCCCTTAGAGTCATACACGCTTCACACGCTCACACGGCATTCTTCAGTCAGGGTCTGACTTGATATTCATGCTGAAGGGGACAATTGTTCTCTGGAGGTCAGAGTGTCAGGTATGGGGATGGCAACAATAGGAGCCCTCTGCTCCCAGTGACAAGGACCCCTCCTATGTGCCAGGTCCTGTGACAACCACTTCATTAGTTCATTTAATGCATTTTGCACAGATGCCCAAGGGATGCACATTATTAGTTCCATTAGCAAATGAGGAAACTTCCAGGTTAAGAGCCCAAGGTCACAGAGTAAGGATCTAGGGTGAGAGCTGTCCAACTCCACAGACTGTGTCCCTAAGGCCCAAGCTGTGTGGGGCAGACCGGCATAGAGCTAGGTCAGACCAGGATGCTTTGAGGGCAGCGTGGAGATGGGAGAACACATCAGGGATAGCAAGAGAAGGGAAGGCACCAGGGAAGCTGGGAGCGGTCTGAGAGGGAGCCCAGCCAGCAGGGAGAGAGCAGAGATGCATATGGGGAGGAGGTTCTACACGCACGCACCTTCCTTGAACACCCCGTTGACAGAGAAGCAGAGCATCGTCTCCTGAAAGGGAAGAACCCAGGTGCTAAGTCACCTAAACTTCCTACCCACCCGTGGCTTCCTGGGGCTGCCCGAGGGAGGAAGTCGGTGCTCACCGTCTGGAACCACATGTCCACCATGAAGGAGCTGAGGTCATGCTGAGTTTGGGGCAGCACACAGAGGGAGCGCACGATGTCACGTTTTGTATGCTTCTGCCGCTGAACACGCAGGGCTATGGGGGTGGGGGAGGAGAAACAAGCAAAGGTCAGGGGTTGCCACACCCTAGGCCCTATAATGATCACTTCACACCCCTTTCCCTGCCCAGTCTTCCCCATCACACACGCACAGGGGTCCTTGAGCTTCTTCATATTCCTGCTTTCCTTGAAGTATTTGCACAGGCTGCTTCTAGGAGAGAAAGAGGAACAGGAGGTGGTGGTCTGGCCAGTGTGGGTGTTTCCAGGAGCTGCCCTGTATCCGCTGGGGAGCCACAGGGCCCAGGAGCAGAGTTGGAGCTTTGCTACTCACGGGGCTGACTCCTCAGGGTTGAAGGGAATGGCCAGGGAGAAGCAGGCCTCATCGTGGTAGGCACCGAGGAGACCCTGACGGTCTCCAGAGTCGTAGATCGAGTAGTACCTGTGGGAGGGCAATGACAGTCTATCTCTGCGGTGTGGACCCCAAATGCGATGTCAAGACCCAGTCAGCAGTCCTGAGCTTGGGTGGCCTCACCCGTCCTAGCCATCCCTCTCCCCAGGTTCCCAGGAGTACTTACTGCTGCAGGAATTGCAGGACTAGACTCTTCAGTGCATCAGATCCAAAGAAGCTTCCCTGGAATCACAACAGTCCTCAGGACCACGGCTGATAACCCCTCCTCACGCACCACCCAAAACCTGGCTTGATCCGCCCTCCTCACCTTGCAGGTCGGTAACCTCTTGTGGGCTGCAATACCGAGGCTGGTTGGTGAAGGTGACTCCTGGCTGTCCTGGGGAAAGGAAGAGGGAGTGGGCAGTGTGGACCAGGAGCTGGTGCTGAACAGTCAGGGAAAGGATGGGCCCCGGAGAGGGTGAGGGTCAGACGCCAGGTGCGAAAGGGCCCTGGAAATTACATGGGCAAGAGTACATTTGGGATCCCTGTCTTGGGGTCCCCGATGCCCCTGGAGAACGTGGTTGAAGGCGATCTGGAGCCCTTGTTGGGTTCCCACATGGATCTGGACCTCCATGAGGTTGAAGGGTCATGAAAATTGTAACTTCTGCAAGACCTAAATGGCTTCAGGGCAGGTTCGGGGCAGCATCAGTGCCAGCAGAGGAGTCAATGATCAAGGAATACACCTACCAGGCGTAGTAACTTGGGAAACAATTCCAGGATGGAGCTGCAGAAATCCAGACAAAACAGAAAAGTCAGTGAAACTTTGCAGGTGTCCTTCATCATGGGAGCAAGCACACTTACACCTGACACACAGCCCAGTATGTCCCACCTACACTGCAGTGTCCTAGGCTTCCAGGGCCCTTGGCACCTGCCTTGTGGATGGACCTAGAGGGAAAGCACACACTCTCTTCCCCCTCCTCTCTCTGATTCCATTCCTCGACCCCACCCCCTCCTCCCTCTCTTTCCCCCTGGGCGGATCCCACCTAGACTGTCCTGACTCCCATCTCCAGGGCCACCAGAAGCAACGTTTGGAGCCCAGGCTCCAGGGCTGCCTTCTCCTTCCTGCCTCCCTTCCTTCCTTCAGGTCCCTACCGAAGGCTCCAGAGAGAAGAGGGAATGGGGTGGAAGCCCAGGGCTCTGCTACCTCACTAGGGGTCCAGCACGCTGCAGGACCATGACACCCCCCCAGGGTAGCCAGGATGCTGGGGCAAGGAGGTGAGTGAGGCAGGAACCAGGAGGCAGAGGGGGAGAGGGAGGGGGATGAAGACAGAAGAGGGGTGGAAGGTAGGAAGGGAAAGGTGAGAGAGACATAGGGGAGTCGAGACAAAAGAGGGAGAGAAAGCAAAACAAAAGGAAGGGAAAGAAGCTCCACCATGGTGGTGAGGGTCAGGGAGGAAGAGAGGAGAAGGGGGAAATGGCTCTCTGCCTGCGGTCCTTTCCTTCATCTGCCCTGGCTGACCCTGGCATCCGACGTAGCAATGGAAAACATGCAGGTGTTGGGCTGGGGGCCCATTGCACGCTGGTTGAAACTTTGTCACCTGTGTGAGCTCAGTCTGAGCCAGGCATGGGGAACGAGGCAGCCACGGGGGCAGGAGACCTACCCCAGGGGGAGTAGAGGGTCAAGCCCCAGGTCAGCATGGAGCTGAGGGTCTGTGGTTCCCTCTTATGATCACCGCCTTCCCTCCTGATGACCCCAGTGCACCTGTGCCTGTCCCAGTCGGTTCCTCACCTGAGGGATTATACCCATGTCGGTCAACCCAGGGCTCCTACGAAGGACCAGTCTGGATGATGTGACGTGCGGAGGGAGGGGAGGGGACAGTGCCTCTGAGAGGCCTGTCCTTCTGTCCTCTCAAGCACCTCTGCCCTCTGCCTTCCATTCCTGCCTCAGGATGCCCTCTGCCTTCCACTCCTGCCTCAGGAAGCCCTCTGCTCACTGGCAGTCACCCACTTCTGGCCCCCTGACTCAGGGAATCCTGGTTTCTCCCAAGGAGGGCCCAGCTCCTGGCCGGGGGTCAGAGGAACGGATGTCATGATGGCAGTCCCCCAGGACCTCGGCCCTCAGCATGGGACAGGAAAGGCACCAAGGCAGCCTGGAATTGGAGAGGGGATATGCTCGGTTCAAGGAAAGGGGATCCCTCTCAGAATAAGGGAGAGAAGCCCTGTCTTTGGAGGGAGGCAGAAAGGCCCATCTCAGCATGAAGCCCTGGGCTGGAGGGCCGTTCTCAGTACAAGGCACCAGCACCAGGCTCAAGGTGGTCACTCTGGTCCTAGTGAGGAAGGGGAGCCCTGTTTCATGGATCCTACTTTGGGGATGGCACGCTAGAGGAGGCTGGGTGCAGACAACCTGCATGCGGACCTGAGACCAGACAAACCGGTGAGCAGGTCAGAGGAAGGGATGGAGATGTCTAAGCACAGGCGAGGCACACAGAGAAGAGAGCACAGGGCCTCCGGTTCCTCCAAAGGAACAGAGCTGCTGCCTCCTCCAAACAGGCACCGTCAGGCATAGTTCAGAGCCCCACGGGGTGACACAGTGTACAACTGACCTTATGTTGGTTGATTTATCAGGGAGGGCGGTGCACAGGGCACTTCTGTCGGCACTCATCTCTTCTGGCTGCAGACTTTTGCCCTCGTCCATCTCCCCTGCAGACTTCACCTACAATTATGGGGAGGAAACCCGTGGAGCAGAGAGAGATGACCAGGATGACCCTGCACCCCCAGTCCTTCCCTTCTCCAACAAATCCACTTCCCTGACTCTTGTCACCATCCCGTGAGCACTCCCAACTTCCTTTCAAAGAAGGATCTGGGTACCACACCTCACCTCACTGTTGGAGAGGTTCAAGCTCTCGATGCTGGCGGCATTCTGCATAGTGTTGGACAGGCCATCCAGCTGGCTGGGTGTCTTGGTGCTCGGGTTCGAGGGCAAAAGCTATGATGAGGAAAAAGTTAGAGTGAGGACCCCAACAGGGGATATCTGAGACCAACCTGCCTCTTCTACCTAATCTCTCCCACCTTCAGCGTCAGTCTCAGCACTGGGACTGAGTCCTCACCTTGGGCATGTTCTTTTCATGGGTCTGCAGGGAGGCAGCCATGCTGTTTCTAGGATTTGGTACCATTTCAATATCATGGGTGATCAAGTCTCCGAGAAGCCGAGAGGAGGGAATCAGAAGGCTGAGAGAGGCCCGGCTGGTACAGCTCCAGCACCAACCCCTCCCCACGTTACCATCCCTAAGTCTCCTTCCCAGACAGGCCCCTCTGCCCTCACCTGCCCTACAATTACTGCTGTAGGCATACCAGCGGCAAAGAGGACCCTCTGGATGTTAAGAGATTGCTGGGAGACTACATATCTTTTGTTCAGGGTCCGCTGCAGAGTTAGAGATGGGGTCAGTGGCTCTTGAAAACCAAGCCAGACTTATTTTGCAAAAAAAAATTATTGTTTATCTTTGGTAATAAGCGTAGAGTTATTTTGCAAACAAATTATTGGTTATATTTGGTAAAAATTAGCGTGATTATAGAGACAAGATATGTTTCGATAACACATCTTTGTAGAGAGTAGATTTTGACACTATCTGCTGTGAACTGGACTAGGTCCTGATTCCTCCAAGGGTCCTCCAGTGCCAGGCTATAACTCTCCAAACTAACATTCTGATTTTTCTCCCACCTTTCTGACTTGGAATCATTTAAGAACGAAAACTTCCCTTTTCCTCAAGTCCTGCAAACGAAATATAAATGACTTGATGTAAAGAAATCCCCATAATAGCTCTTTAATTGACACTCTTTGTGCTTACTGCTCTACGGGACACTCAAGAAGAGCACCAAAGACATTCGAACTGCAAACCAGAAAGATCTGTTAGATTGCCACTACCCGCCCTCACTCTATCTAGAGAGGCTTTAAGTCTGACATCTAGAAGTCTCATCAGCTGGCTACCCTCAGAACTCAGAAACTGGCTTAACGTTTGATCCAAATATGAACCTTTGTTTTTCTTTTGTTTCCATAGGAATGCCTTTGATTTGATACCCGATTACCTGAAACATACGTGTAACTTTGAGAATATACCTGCATTACTGCCTCCTGAAATTAGTTTGACTAAACCGACCTATTGCTGGGACTAAGAGACGGGACCAACAAGAGGAAACAATCCACCTGCTCCATATTTAATATGTGACACTCCCAAGGAAGTATTCGTGGGGGGAACTGAAGGGGGTCAGGACAGCCCCCACCTCAGAATATGGCCACTCTGACACGTGGATTATTTTGAGCTGAAGGCGCTAGAGAACCTGCAGACTCGAGAGAAAGTTCTGTCCCTCCTTTAAGCACACAGAAAAATCTAAATTGGGGATCTTTCCCAGAATAAGAGTTATTAACAGAGATAAATTTTATCTGAGTGATGCATGTATATGGTAGGTCAAACATCTTAGTGCCAAACATCTGCTCCTGTTATCACCATGTGAAGTGCATTCCTTTCCTCTGAAATCCCACACCGCTACTCCATTCTCCTTGGTTCAGAATGACATCTATACCTCAGGTTGCCTGATTGCCTTTGAGATTTACGTGACTGTGGATTTTTCATATGTACATCTATTAAATTGAATTCTCCTGTAAATAAATAAATAAATAAATAAATAAATAGCTCACTCACTCACTCATGGGTCAAAGTAGAAGTCTCAAGGGAAATTTAAAAAATTTAAACTGAATGAAAATGAAAATTCAAGATCAAAATTTGTGGGATTCAGCAGCACTGAGAGCGAATTTGTACCACTAAATGCATACATTAGCAAACAGAAAAATGTTTCAAATCAATCATCCAAGCTTCTACTTCGAGAATATAGAAAAAGAACAGCAAAAGGAACCAAGAGCAGGATAAGGTAGACAGAAATAAAGAGTAGAAATCAAAGAAACTTAAGACAAAAATAACAGAGGAAATGAATGAAATGAGCACCTGCTTCTTTGAACAGATCCACAAAACTGCCAAACCTCCAGCAAGACCGCTAAAAAAAAAAAAAGAAAAAACATGAATGACCAAAATCATGGTTTAAAGAGGTTGTCACTACAGATTCTGCAGACATAAAAAATATAATCAGAGTATATTATACTATGGGTAATGCTACACACATCAGTTTGACAAACCTCGATAAAAGTGACCAATTCCTTACAAAAAACAATCTACTATAACTCACCCTATATGAAATAGACAATTTGAAAAGTCATCTATTAAAAGAATTGAGGCTGTAATTTAACAACTCTCCCCAAAATCCAGGCCCATATGCTACTACTGGAGAATCCAATGGTAATGGGAGATTTAAGATCAATTCTACAAAATCTCCACCCAGAAAATAAAGAGAAGGGAATATTCCTCAATTCATTTTATGAAACTAGGTATAACCTAATACTCAAACCAATGGAAGGAAGGAAGGAAGGAATGAAAGAAGGAAGGAAGGAAAGAGGAAGTGAGAGAGAAAGAAAGAAAGAAAGAAAGAAGAAGAAGAAAGGAAGGAAGGAAGGAAGGAAGAAAGAAAGAAGAAAGAAAGGGAAGAAGTAAGGAAGGAAATAAAGGGAGGAAATAAGGAAGGAAGGGGGGAGGGAGGAAGGAAGAAAGATGGAAAAAAAAATTACCTTACATATCCCCCATGAGTACGGATGCAAAAATCCTTAACAACATATTAGCAAACAGTATTCAGCAATATATAAAAAATTATACACCATGACCGAGTAGGGTTCATTCCAAAGATGGAAAGATGTTTTTCATTTTGTTACTATGGTGTATTACATTTATTTTCTTTCTTTCTTTTTTTTTTGCCTAAAGAATAAAATTTTTTTTTAGTTTTTTTAAATTTTTTTATTTAAATTCAATTAGCCAACATCTAGTACATCATTAGTTTCAGAGGTAGAGTTCAGTAATTTATCAGTTGCAGATCACACCCAGTGCTGAGCACATCCCGTGCCCTCCTTAATACATTGATTTTCTAATGTTGAACCATCTTTGTGCATAAATCCCAATTGGTCATGACGTATAGTCTTCTTAATATGCTGTTGGATTCAGTTTGTTAGTACTTTGTGGAGGATTTTTGCATGTATATATAGAAGAGATATTGGTGTGGAGTTTTCTTGTGGTGTCAGTCTGGCATTGGTATTGGTATGTGGGTAACGCTAACCTCATAGGAGGAGTTAGGAAGTGTTCCCTCCTCTTCTACTTTTTGGAGGCGTTTGAGAAATATTGGTACAAATCATTTAAATGTTTCAGAGAATCCAACAGTGAAGGCATCTGGACCCGGACTTTGTTGGGAGATTTTTGAATACTGATTCATTAGAAATAAAACAGGCACCTAATAAAAATTGTAGTGCTGTTTCAGACCTGTTAAATGATTACTTATGTAAATACTACAAGATTTATGTAAGTTTACTTGATAAAAATGTGAAGTGTGCTTGTAAAAGTCGGTGTCTACATGCAGAAGAATGAAACTGGACCATTTCCTTACATCACACACAAAAATAAACTCCAGATGGATTAAAGACCTAAATGTAAGACAGGAATCCATCAAAATCCTTGGGGAGAACACAGGCAGCAACCTCTTCGACCTCAGTAGCAGCAACTTCTTCCTAGAAACAACGCCAAATGTAAGGGAAATACAGGCAAAAATGAACTATTGGGACTTCATCAAGATAAAAAGCTTTTGCACAGCAAAGGAAACAGTCAACAAAACCCAAAGGCAAGTGACAGAAAGGGAGAAGATATTTGCAAATGACATATCAGATAAAGAGCTAGTATCCAAAATCTGTAAAGAACTTATCAAACTCAACACCCAAAGAACAAATAATCCAATCCAGAAATGGGCAGAAGACATGAACAGACATTTTTCCAAAGAAGACATTCAAATGGCCAACAGACACATGAAAAAGTGCTCAACATCACTCGGCATCAGGGAAATCCAAATCAAAACTCAATGAGATACCACCTCCCACCAGTCAGAATGGCTAGAGTTAACAAATCATGACATGTTGTCGAGGATGGAGAGAAAAGGGAACCCTCCTACACTGTTGGTGGGAATGCAAGCTGGTGCAGCCACTCTGGAAAACAGTATGGAGGTTCCTCAAAAAGTTGAAAATAGAGCTACCATATGACCCAGCAATTGCACTACTGGGTATTTACCCCAAAGATACAAATGTAGTGATCCAAAGGGGCACATGCACCCCAATGTATATAGCAGCAATTGTCCACAATAGCCAAACTATGGAAAGAGCCTAGATGTCTGTCAACAGATGAATGGATAAAAAAGATGTGGTGTATATATACAATGGAATATTATGCAGCCATCAAAAATGAAATCTTGCCATTTGCAATGACGTGGATGGAACTGGAGGGTGTTATGCTCAGCGAAATAAGTCAATCAGAGAACAACAAGGATCATATGATCTCACTGATATGAGGAATTTGAGAAACAAGACAGAGGATCGTAGGGGAAGGGAGGGGAAAATAAAACAAGATGAAATCAGAGAAGCAGACAAACCATAAGAGACTCTTAATCTCAGGTAACAAGCTGAGGGTTGCTGGAGTGGAGGGTGGTGGGAGGAATGGAGTGGCTGGGGGATGGACAGTGGGGAGGGTAGGTACTATGGTGAGCACTGTGAATTGTGTAAGACTGTTGAATCACAGACCTGTACCCCTGAAACAAATAATTCATTATATATGTTAAAAAAAAGTGGGTGTCTAAAGGGTTACAATTTGTCAGTTTCCCTGAAGTGGTGGAAGAGGGGTTTCCTTAATCAGAGTGTTCTAACACCCGATGTGGATGGGTATGGCTCATAGCAAGCACCATGAACTGAGGGAGCTGGTCGATGTATGGGTATATGTGTACCCTTTTGTGTGTTCTTAGGTATTCAGCTTGGCGCAGTTTCCTTCTTTCACCTAGTATTTCTCAGAAATAAACTGAATTTCAGTGAAACAGATTTATGTTTTTAAAAACAAACTTGTTTAGAAAACAATTTGAATGTACCACCCTCACTGATAAAATTACTACAATAATTTTTTCCCAGTAATTTTTAAGTTCAGGACAATGTTATTGGCTGGGTGGTAAGATTAGGCATGAAAGAAACCACGTGATAATTGTCTTTCTCTGCTTGACTTATCTGACTTAGCATAATCCCCTCCAGTTCCATCCATGTCAGTGCAAATGGTGGGTGTTCATCCTTTCTGATGGCTGAGTAATATTCCACTGAAGACCATAGGGGAAGGAAGGGAAAACTGAAGAGGGGAACCCGGAGAGGGAGACAAGCCATGAGGGACTCTGGACTCTGGGAAACAAACTGAGGGTTTCAGAAGGGAGGGGGGTGGGGGGATGGGGTAGCCAGGTAATGGGCATTAAGGAGGGCACATGCTGTGATGAGCACTGGGTGTTATACACAACTAACGAATCATTGAGCACTACATCCAAAACAAATGATGTACTATATGGTGGCTAACTGAACATAATAAAAAAAAGATTAGGAATGAAATATATATGTTTAATTATGATATATATGTTAAATTATAATATATATTTAATTATTATGTTATATATTTTTTATCTCATATCTTGTACAGATTTTCTTGCTGGTAATTACTACTGCTTTTAATAACAATTCTAGGTTGATATCAGTTTCCCTTCTCTCTACTGATTTTTTATATATCAAGGATATTAATCCTACATCAGGCATAAATATGTGGCAGTTTTTTTCTTCCCATCTCATCATCTTGCCATGTGCTCTTTAATACTGTCTTTCCCCAAAGGGGTTGTTTCAAAATTTGCATAGATTTGTATGGCTAAGAATTTATACTGTTCTCTGTATAAAAACATTTGACTAATATACTAGGAGCTCAGAACACCACCCCCCAGGTTTATCAGAGTAATAGAACATTCCCCATCTCAGCAGCCACATGGCCCTGGGGAGCATACACAGCCTGGGCTTGGTGGCGGGGAGCTCCAGGATTTGAGTCTCTACTCCACTGTTCCCCAAGAGTTGCTGACCCTCTGACTTTCCCTTTCCTCCTCAGTGGACCAGTGAACATAATACCTGCCTCGAATGGATTTTGCGGGGATTTGACAGAACATGCAATGGCATTCTTTATTATCAAAAGAATCAGGGATACTGGGTGGAACAAAAACAGAGAAAAACCAGCCATTTGGGTGAATGAGTGTCACCCTTACCAGATAACCTTTGGTTTCTTGGGTGAGCTGGGCCTCTCACCTCAATTGCAGGCCAGAGAAGAAAGATCAGGATTGGGAAGATGACAAGACCAATGTCTCCTCACAGAGTTTTAGGTTTCAGGATCATGAAGAGGTTCATGAAGGCCTTTTCTGGGACCTTGATCACAATGTGCAAGGAGTGAAGGGAGGGAGTTGGGAGATCAGCAAAGCCTGGAGCCCTGAGTCTCACCCTTTTCACTTGGCCTAAATTCCCAAGCCTTACCTTGGGCACAGCAAGAACTATAAAGCTCTGGTGTAGGCCAAGTGGTTGTCATAAAGGTATCTGGGGTGGAGGAAGAAAAGGCAACATCCATTAGGATCAAAGTAGATCAAAGTAGAGATAGTCTGAGATACTCTGACAGCACAGTGCCATTTCCTGATCTATGAGACAGAAACATGCCTCCACATTTACTGCATCATATGCAGTAGAATGAGCTCTGTGGCAGTGTGTCATGGGAAAAAAAAATCCTGGTACCTAGGTGTCTCTAGATGAGGAAACTGAGAATAAAGGAACAGGTTCAAGAAATTCATAAAAGTCATGCACAACTGTTCAAAAACAACTAGCTGGGTTATATGTGCTGAGACCGAAGTGTTACATGTGATAATGAGTGAAATAAAGAAGCAAAACCAATTACCTGCAAATTTCCATTATTCACTCCCTTAATCTTCCCAACTCACACCTATCCCTGCACACTTCGGTCACTTACGATCTTATCCAGGGGCCCTCGTGGGCATCATCCATGGCTGCAACTCCATCTTGCTCCTAGAGCAGTGAAGAATGAATTCCAGAACTGGTTTGTTCAGACCATGTATCACACCTCCCATGGGAAGGACCCCAGCATCTTGTTCTTTGAAAGAAGCTAATTTGGCATCATGGTCTGAAATTGGAAAAAACACAGAAAAAAATGAATAAATGTAAAAGGACAATACAAAATAAAACACAGAGTAGAAAACACCAAATACCAAGAACAAAATCCTGGGATGCTGTCATGGCTAATGAAGAAATTTTTATAATCGAAAAAGAAATATAGCACAGAAGACTGGGAGGCCGCACTGTACCTCCTGGGAGATGAGAGGTGGGGAGAATTCACCGCCCAGGAGAGAGCAAGCACAGCAGGAAGGACTTGGACAGAGGGTCCATTGTGAGACATTATCCCTGCTCTGATGTGTTCAGGCTGGGTGACCTGGAATGAGTTAATTAATGTCTGTAACCCTCACCTCCCTCCTGTGCTCTAGGTGGACAGTTCAAACTACTCTGTGTGGTGTTAGATTTTAAAGGTCATAGTGAGTTCTCCACCTGAAAAAATGAAAGATAGTCTGAAGAAAATATATCCAGAATGAAGCCTGGGGAGAAAAAAATGATGGGACAGACTGAGAGAGGGGGCAAGAATTAAAGATAATACAGTGAATAACACATTTAACTGGAATCCCAGAAGGAGCGAGAGAGAACAGGCCAGTCCTCCAATTGTTAAATATGATGTATCTATTAATTTAGATCTTTAATTACCCTCGGCTATCTTTTATAATTTTCAGTGAATAGGCCTTGCACTTATTTTGCTAAATTTATTTCTAAGCATTTTATTCTATTTTACACTTTAGGAACTGATTTCTTAATTTCATTTTCTGATCGCTCATTTCTAGTAAATAGACATTATTGATCTTTCAAAATTTATGTATTACTACTAGTATTTCTTTTATAGATTTCTTAGGATTTTCCACACACATGATCATGTTACCTGCAAATAAAGAGAGTTTTATTTATTCCTTTGCAATCTATATGCCTTCCATTTCTTTTTCATATTTTTTTAATATTTTACTTATTTATTTGATAGAGAGAAGACACCCTGAAAGAGGGAACACAAGCAGGGGGAGCGGGAGAGGGAGAAGCAGGCTTCCCACTGGAGCCCAATGCGGGGCTGATCCCAGGATCCTGGGATCAGGACCTGAACAGAAAGCAGACGCTTAACGCTTAACAACTGAGCCACCCAGGCACCCCTCTTTTTCATACGTTTTTGCAGTGGCTAGTATCTCCAGTACTACGCTGAATAAAACTGGTAAGAGCAAGCATCCTTGCCTCGTTCCTGATATTAGGGGGAAATATTCAGTCTTTCACTACTAAATAGGATATCAGTTTTATTTTTTATTATTTTTAAAGATTTTATTTATTTATTTGAATGAAAGAGTGAGTGAGAGAGAACACGAGTGGCGCGGGGTGGGGGTGGAGGGTAAGGGGCAGAGGGAAGGGGAGAAGCAGACTCTCCCGCTGAGCAGAGAGCCAGATGCAGGGCTTGATCCCAGGACCCTAAGCCGGGAGCCCATGACTACGGGCTCTGATTCCAGGACCCTGGGATCATGACCTGAACCGAAGGCAGACCAGATGCTTAACAGACTGAGCCACCCAGGCACCCCAGGATATTAGGTTTTGGATTTTCTGATAGAAGTGGCACTTTATCAGGTTGAGGAAGTTCCTTGCTATTTCTAGTTTGATTTTATCCTGAATGGGTGTTGGATTTTGTCCAGTGCTTTATCTGCTTCTACTGAGTTGATTATGTAGTTTTTGTAAAGATTCATGCACGATGCCATAGTTAGTGGGCAATAAGTAATATCTATCGTCAAGCTTACAATCTTAATAGTTCAAAAAAATTAATTACCTTTAATTGGAGGTACTTATAATGACTTATTTGCTTCTTTACATTTTCCTCTTTTTACAGAAATATTAAAATTTTACCCTAAGTTTATACCAGTAATTAAAATTTACACACTTTTAGGGACTTGGATCTAGTAATTCACTCCTATCAATATGATTCCTATTTAGTTTTTCCTTTATTGTTATTTATTTTTTCAATCTGGGATCCAATCAAGAATCATGAATTTGTGTTTTTTCCACCTTTACTGAGATATAATTGACATATAACATCGTGTAAGTTTAAGATGTACAATGTCATGATTTGATACACATATATGAAATGACTATCATATATGCTTCATAAACACATCTAGCACCTCACATAGTTACCTCTGTGTGTGTACGTGTGTGATGAGAACTTTTAAGAACTACTCACTCAGCAACTTTCAAATCAAATATACATTATAGTACTTTTAACTATAGTCACCATGCTAAGCAGTAGATCCCCAGAACTTACTCATCTTATAACTACAAGAGTCTCATGCTCTACTGACTGGGCAAGCCAGACGCCCCTCCCATGGGGACTTTTGAGAAAAGCAGCTGTACAAAGCCTTTCACCCAAGAAGGTAGAATTTCAGTCTCTGTTACCTTTTTCTGTATCGTCTGCCATTGGGGACAGCAGTGACATGGTGAAGACAGCACTAGGACATAGGCGCAACACCCCTGCGAAATCCCAGTTCTGCCGCTTAGGTAGCTCCAAGAGTACGAGCACGTGGTAGAGCAGCGCCCAGCCCCGCCGTCTCTCGAGGGCGTCGTAGATCAAAGTTTGGATGCGCGGGGACTTGGCGTTGTTCCTCGTGACAGGGCGGCTCAGGGGGGTCTTGGCCAGGAGCCCGATGCCCTGCGGGGTCCTCCGCAGCCCCTCGTCGCGGCCGCTGCCCTCCAGCAGCAGGGTCCCGTCTTTGAAAGCTCTGGCCCCGAGCTCCAAGGTGATTTGTTTTACGTCGCCGGGCGCCAGCCCCACTTTCCAAATCTCCTTGTCGCCGGCCGCCGCCGCGTCCCCTCCGGCCGGGTTAGCGGCCCTGCCGCCGCCGCCGCCAGCCACCCTCGCCGCCCTGCGCGCCTTGAGCCCCATCTGCCTCGCCCCAGCCAGCCGCTTCGCCTTCTCCGCTGCTGCTCCGGGAAGCAGAGGCGCTCGGGGTGCGTGGATGAGGCGGCGGCGGCAGCTGCAAGCCCGGGAACTGCAACGCCACGATCCGCGCGCCGCTCCCCACACCCCCCACCCCCAAAAGCAAGCAGGGGAGGGGCAGGGGAAGCCGGGCAGCGGTAAGAGGTCACATCCCGCGCGGGTCAGCCGCGGGACCCCGAGGGGCGCAGGCCGGGGGCCGCGGGGAGGCGGCGAGGGCGCACGAGGCTGGCGCCGAGGCTCTAGTGCGCGGGGTGGCGGCGGCGGCGGCGGCGGCACGCCGTCTGGCGGACCGGAGACAGCATCGCAGTGTACTTACCAGCCGGGTGCCAACCTCCCGCCAGCCACGTGCGCGGCCGCTGCCTCCGCCCTCCTCTGCACTCCCCGCCCCCCGCGCCCCTCCCCGCCGGCTCCAGCCTCAGGCCCGCGGCAGCCGTCGAGGGCCCAGCGTAAGCCTACTATTGCTATTTAAATGTCCACTGACACGAGGTTTCTTGCAGGTGGGTTCCCTAGTTAAATTGCTGCCCTGTAGGGAACCCAGGAAAGTCTGACCATGTGCCCCATATAGGTTATCTCGTTTATTCCTAGGAGGAAGATAATCATCATCTCCATTCTCTAGATGAGGAAACTGAGAAACGAGAAGCCTATTGTCTAGGGTCATACAGCCACTGAAAAGAAAGACAGAGGTGGTAGCAAATGCCTTTCTGATTGCCAACCCCTTATTCCTCCCGAGGACACCACCAAATTCAGCTGTAATCTAGAAAATCATATGGGAATTGAGGTCCTCTGGACCCAAACCACTGTTCTCGTCTCTGTAACATACTCATTTGGCTGTAAATCACGTGCTTACAAGATTGGAAGATTTTTTTTTGTATTGGGAAAATTATTGTCCCCTAAAATATGGAGGATATTATTGCATTTAACCATTTTAAATGTATAGACCCTTCGACCATACCATTTCTGGAAATTCACCTGGAAGAAATCGTTGCTTCCAAGTTTTCCTATTACAAAGAGCATGTAGTTGTACGGGAATTCTGATCACTGATTGGGACAAGGAGGATGAGGTGAGGAAATGGAGGAAACTTGAGGAAAACTGGCTGAAGTGCTAGGATATGATTTCAGGTCAGCACCTTTAAGGCTGTTCAACATGATATCCCCAGTTTCCTTCTTGACCTTCATTCTTTTTATGCTTTCTTTCCCTCACTTTTTTCCAGCCAAGCTGGCCTCTGTGTGGTTTCGTGAATATGCCAATTATGTTGTGTCCTCTGGACCTTTGCATTTGCTATTCTCTCTACCTGGAATACTATTTCCAAAATACCCCCTAGACTCTCTCTGGAACCTTAGAATATTTGCTTCAAAATTGTTTTATCACTGAGGCCTTCCCTAGCTTCCTTATTCATACCCCCTGTTCATTACTTCCCTCTTACCTATTTATTCCCTGACCCCCACTCTCACTATCCTCCTTCCTTATTTTTCTCCTTAGCATTTATCACTCTCTGTCCTACTAATATTGTACTTAATTTGTTTTCTATCTCCCTCACTTATAAAAACAGAGGTTTCTGCCTTTTCTTGTTAACTACTGTATCCTCAATGCCTATAATAGTATCTGCACTTAGAAGGTGCTCAAAAAATAGTTGTTGAGTGAATTAATTAAATTTCTAAAATGCCTGGCAAGATTGTAATGACATGTTCTCACTTCTAAGAAATCTCAGGATCTTTAGGTGTGTATTATGTGCCAGGGATGGTGTTTGTTGTATGATAGATGTAACCTTATGTCTGACTTATGCTAAAAAAACTTCCTCTCATAACTTTCTTGCCACTCTGGGTAATTTCACAAGAAATTTTCCAATAAATATATGCCAATATGAGATCTTGTTGTGCTGCTAATTTGTGAACTCCTATTTCAATGGAGTCACAACTCCCTAATATATGTGGATGGGAACATGGTTTTCCGGTCCCTTTCTAGGAACCCAGGAGTCATGTGGATCAATCTCAGTTTTCAATACAGGTGTCTATGTGAAACATCTACGCAAATAGATCTTCAATAGTAAGGAGGGAGTAGTGTATTTGTGAGAGTGACAGTGGTCTAACAGAAGGGTTGAGGAAGTGGTGATAAGGCTACTTTTTCCTTTTAATTGATTAACTTATCAGGTAATTATGAAAGCATCACTGTATGTTACCTGAAAAATTAACAGACAAGCATAAAGCATGAAATGTGAAATGTCTGTAGGAGAGTCTTTCTTTTAATGTAGATACTAAATAAATCTCTTGAACTTTCAATAGGTTGTGGGAAGCTATGGCCCTGTAGTAATATGTTAAGTTATTTTAACTGGCCCTTTTCCAGCTGAAAGAAAAAAAATACAGTGGTATTAGGAGAACTTCTGGATTCCTTGCTATACACAGGAGCTTTTTAAAAGCCCTTATTTCCCCACATATTTTTTTTCCCAACCTCTTTTTCTCCCAAGCTTATCAGTCTGTCTGTTGCTTGTCCTGACTTTTGCCCTTTGCTCTAGGCTGAAATAGTCAATACTTTCATGTTTGAATGCTGTATTAGTCTGCTCAGGCTGCCATAACAAAATACCACAGACTGGGTGGCTTAAATAACAGGAATTTAGGGGCACCTGGGTGGCTCAGATGGTTGAGCGTCTGCCTTTGGCTCGGGTCACGATCCCAGGGTCCTGGGATCAAGCCTGCATCGGGCTCCTTGCTCAGCGGGGAGCCTGCTTCTCCCTCTCCCTCTCCCTTTGCCTCTCCCCCTACTCATGCTCTCTCTCTCTGTATCTCTGTGTCTCAAATGAATAAATAAAATCTTAAAAAAATAATGGGAATTTATTTTTTTCACAGTTCTGGAACCTAGAAGTCCAAGATCAAGGTGTCTTCTGAGGCCTCTCTTCCTGACTTGCAGATGGCGACTTTTTGCTCTGTCCTCATATGGTCTTTACTCTGTGTGCACAGATACCTGGTATCTCTTGTGTGTGTCTGAATTTCCTCCTCTTGTAAGGACACAAGCCAAATCAGTTTACGGCCCATCATAAAAGTCACATTTTAACTTAATCACCTCTTTATTTTATTTTTATTTTTTTGCCACAAGATACAACATTTTATTTTTTTAATTTATTTATTTTTATCTAATCACCTCTTTAAGGACCCTATTTCCAAATATAATCACAATCTGAGGCCCTGGGTATTAGGATTTCAACATATGAATTTTGAGGGCACATAATTCAGGCCGTAACAATCCACACTCTGGATACCCAAAATTCATATGCAAAATACATTCACCCTTATCTCAACAGCCCAAGTCTTAACCTATTCCAGCATTAACTCTAAGTCCCAAATCTCACCTAAACATCTAAATCATGTATGGGTGAGACTCAAGAGATGATTCATCTTGAGGCAAAATTCCTGTCCAGTTGTGAACCTGTGAAATCAGATAAGTTAATCTGCTTCCAAAATACAATGGTAGGATAGGCATAGGATACAGATACTCATTCCAAAAGGGAGAAGATCGGAAAGAAGAAAGGAATTACAGATTACAAATAAGTCTAAAACCTAGCTGGAAAATTCCATTTGATTTGGAGCCCCAAGAAATAGTTCTCTTTGGCTCAGTGCTCTGTCCTCCAGGCCCACAGAAGTAGAATTTCCACTTTCTGAGCCCACTGAGATGGCAGCCCCACCCCCTTGTCTCTGGGTGGCAGCTCCACTCCCAAGACCCTAGGCCTTGCGCTCTGAAACCAAAGAGGTGGCCCTGCCCTCTTAAACCCAGGAAGATACTGCCCCATTTTGGGGCCATTCTTAATTTTTCTCGAAGGGTCATACATATTCACAGCTGGACAGGTCTATTGTTCTGTCCTGTAGAATCCCAGAAGTCCAATAGCTTTTCTTCATTTCATCTCATCTTTGTCTTCTTCAGGCGAAGCTAGCAGTGTTCCTGCTGGTATAACTCCATCTCTATCTCTGGCTTCTGCTGAGTTTGCTGGTTAGACTATGAGTCATGCCCATCATCTACTTTCTGGAGTGACTGTCCAATCACACCTTTGTTATTCTCTCCAGAACATGCTTTCTCGTTTTTTGCAATATGGACAGACAGAATTTTCCAATCATAATGTTCTGGTGTTTTTTGCTTAATGATTCCTGCTCCAATTTACCTCTCTCTTCTTATATTTTATGATAAACCCAGGCAATGTCTTCAACATTTTGCTCAAAACCTCCTATGATAAATATCCAGATTCATCACTTACAATTTCTGCTTTGCACAAAATTCTAGAACACAATTTGGCCAAGTTCTTTGCCCCTTTGTAACAAGGATCACCTTTCCTCCAGTTTCCTATAATATGTTCTGCTTTTCTCTTTAAAGTCTCACCAGAATCACCTTGAATGTCCACATTTCTACCAACAGTCTCTTCATGGCAATCCAGACTTTTTCTAGCATGCATCTCAAAACTCTTCCAGCCTCTACCCATTCCTAATTCCAAAGCCACTTCCACATTTTAGGCATTTGTTAAGGTAGTACCTCACTTCTCAGTACCAACATTTGTATTAGGATTCTCCAGAGAAACAGAACCAGCAGGATGTCTATTTATTAGTTTGTCTTAAGAAATTAGGTCACATGGTTGCGGGAGCTTGGTATGTAAAAAATCTGCAGGATAGGCTTTCAGGCTGAGGACCCAGTCTGCATCCAAAGTCAGTTTACTGGCAGAATTCCTTCTTGCTCAGGGTGATTAGTCTTTCTTCCATTAAAGCCAGGAACTGGTTGGATGAGGCCCACCCATATAGAGGGGTTTATGCCTTACTCAAAATTCACTGATTTAAATGTTATTTTCACCCCCCAAAATCTTCATAGAAACATCCAGAATAATGGGTGACCAAATATCTGGGCACCATGGCTCAGCCAAGTTTGTAGATAAAATGAACCATCACAAATGTTTTCAGCAAATGCTCCCTGGGAAGTCACTCCAGCCCTGGGAACTCTCCAAGTCAAAAGAAACAATGGAAAGCCCTTGAGATGGTCTTTCAAGGAGCTGCCAATGGAGCCGAAACACACAACCACCATTCTTTGAGAATAAGGTCTGTACTGTTCCCTCTGGTACTTAGTAACCTGCACCAAGAGTCTTCATGGCTGCTGCTGATTCGGGGAATGGGAAGGGTAAAGAGAGGTGCTTAAAATGCCGCCACTCTCTCTTGCTAATATGCTGCAGCTTCTTTCTTCATTAAGCCTTCCCCTGGTTGTTCTAAGATTTTGACTAGATTCCAAAATTCTGTGAAAATTGAGTCTAACAATTTTTGCCAGCTTAGTTGCTTTTGTAGATGGGCCGGGCCCTGGAGTTTGCTACTCTGCCATTTTGAGTGGCATCACCTCCTTAAATTAAACCATTTTCGTGGACTCCTAAAAGTAACATGATACCTAGGCATTGTGCCTACTGTGCTTAATGGATAAGATCACCCAGGGCCTATCTAAGGTCTTTGTACCCAGAGGCATTCTGGGTCAGGAGAGGCACAGAACAGCTTCAGAGGTCAGAAAAAGGGTGATTCAATTCTCAGCTATGCCCCTAACTCTGTGATCTTGGCCAATGGACTTAACTTCTCTGAGATTCATTTCCCTCTTTTTCCCACTTGGTTCTCAGAACTAATTTAAGAATTCAAAGAGATAACAAATGTGAAAGTGCCTAGCCCAATACTAGTACTCAAATCTCATTCCAATTCTCTCTCATCCTGAAATTTTCCTTGAGCTTTCTATTTTCTCTCTTGCCACTTTTCCACAGGGGAAATTAGTGCCTGGTAATGGCTGAATAAATTACCCCTTGAGTAGTGTTTGCATTCTCACAAAGGACAGTCTTTAGCCCATAGGATTTAAAAGTTTTTTGATGGAATTGAAAGTCTATTCCTTCTGGGAGAAGAACACTTTAGAAAGACTATTTCTCTCCTCTCTCCAGATACTTTGGGCATTGGCATGTGCTTTTGGTGAGGGAAGATCTCTGGTAGATGATGGCATTCCACTCTTGCAGAGTGGTGCCTTCCTCCTCAAAGGATATGATGTTTGACAAATCAGACACACTACAGTGGATTTACAGATATTAACTGCCTACAGGTAGGGAGTTGTGTGATTTGAGGCAAATCACTCAAAACCTTACTTTGCTCATCTGTGAACTTGGGATAATGAAGGGGGAATGTGAAAACATTTTAAAAACTTGAACTGGGGAGGAGCAAGATGGTGGAGGAATAGGAGACCTGGATTTTATCTGGTCCCCGGAATTCAGCTGGATAGGGATCAAACCATTCTGAACACCTATGAACTCAACAGGAGATCGAAGAAAAGAATAGCAGCAACTCTCTGAACAGAAAAGTGACCACTTTCTGGAAGGTAGGACGTGTGAGAAGTGAATCCGAGGCGATGTTTGGGAAGATAGACGGCGGGGGAGGGGGCCTCCATCGGCTGCTTCTGGCAAGTGCTAGAGCAGCGGAGCACAAAATCGGGACTTTTAGAAGTCGGCTCTGCTGAGGGATGTCACTCCAGTGGCTAAGTGGGGGTGGAACGTTCGCTGGGACAGTGTGGTCTCAGGACCCTCGGGGTCTAAGACCGGGGGTGCCTGAGTCTGGCAGAGCTCCCAGGTACCAGAGCAGGGAAGCTGGCTGCAGAGATGGAGCCGAGGAGTGGGCTCTCAGCTCGGGGTTACCGTAAACCGTGGTCCGCGGCACAGTCGGGCCACTGCTCCTCCAGCAGGGACCCAACAAGTGGCAGATCCGGGGAGACTCCCCTTCCTCCCCCAGGAGGAGCGGCACAGGAGCGCACCGCAGGGATCTGCTGGGTTTGGAGACTCCACACGGGGTCGGGTGCCAGAGATAGAAACGCTTGGTCACAGGCCGGGTGAGCACGGAGTGCGGCCGGAGACCGGGGAGACGGGAGTGACTGCTTTTCTCTGGGGGCGCACTGAGGAGCGGGGCCCCGAGTTCTCGGCTCCTCCGGGCGGAGATTGGGAGGCCGCCATTTTCACTCTGGTCCTCCAAAGCTGTACCGAGAGCTTGCAGGGAACAAAAGCTCCTGAGAGCAAACCCGAGCAGATTGCTTAGCCCGACCGACAAGGGCAGGGCAATTCCGCCTCCGGCAAAGACATTTGGGAACCACGGTGACAGGCCCCTCCCCCAGAAGATCAGCAAGAACAGCCAGCCAAGACCAAGTTTACCGATCAAGGAGAACAGGAGAACTCCAGGGCTAGGGGAATACTGCACATAGAATTCATGGCTTTTTTACCATGATTCTTTAGTCTCTCAAAGTTAATTTTTTCAATTTTATTTTTTTCTTTTTCTATGTTTTTAGTTGAAACTTTCTTCTTTCCTTTTTCAACCAACATTTATCAATTCCTTTTTTAAAATCTTTTTTAATTTTTTTCATTTTTACACTCATTTTCTATCTCTTCATTGTATCTAACCTTATTTATTGTACGTATAAGTTTTTTTCTTTTAAAATTTTGGGATACAGTTTCTTCTAACAGACCAAAATATACCCTAAATCGAGTGTATGATGTCCTAGTCTCCCGCCTGATCACATTCTCTCTTTTTTTTAAATTTTTTCATTCTTTTTTTCAACCTTCTTATCTTATCAATTACTTGTTTAAAATCTTTTTTCATTTTCATCTTTACAGTCATATTCCATCCTTTCATTGTATTTACCCTTATTTTTGTATATATATAAGTTTTTCTTTCTTTAAAATTTTGAGAGGCAATTCCTTCTAACAGACCAAAATACACCCAAAATATAGTGTGTGGCTCTGTTAGTTTCACCAGTTTGATCATATTCTTTTTTTTTCCCTTTCTTTCCCCCTGGTTGTGGGCGTCTTCTGATTTGTTTAGTGTATATTTTTCTGGGGTCGTTGTTACCTTTTTAACATTTTTTTAGCATTTTGTTTGCTCTTTCATCTATTCTCCTCAGGACAAAATGACAAGACAGAAAAACTCACCTCAAAATAAAGAGCAAGAGGCAGTATCGACTGCCAGGGACCTAATCAACACATACATTAGTAAGATGTTGGAAATAGAGTTCAGAATGACGATTATAAAGATACTAGATGGGCTTGAAAAAAGCATAGAAGATACTAGAGAATCCCTTTCTGGAGAAATAAAAGAAC